ATTCCCTTTTTATTGCACAAATTGCATACTGTATTGAGATAATGGATTTGATAACAGAAAATGTTGATATCATAGAATAAAACTGTTGACCCTCACAACAGATTCACAGAATCTGTGACTTTAGAAGACATACTATAAGCTGAAACTTTCACCTTGTTAAACACTACAGTTCCTATAGTTCCTCAGCATTCCTTCTTCTTAGAGACATAAATCGGCCTGTTTTTTTTTCAATAGAAATATTGCACATCTTTAATTAAGGATGTAAGTTAGTTTTCCAGTTATTTTGTTGATCTGAATATTGATCAGACTTTGCTAATGAAACAAAATAATTGGAAAACTAATTTACATCCTTAATGTAAAAATAAAAAATGCAGATAGTGGCAAATGTAAAGCACCTTGCATTTGTATCCAATTATATTTGTATTTTAATACAGCACTTTACTTACAGGCACAGCAGTAGTTCCTCAACTGGGAATTTAACCAAAAACAATCCAGTTTCGAATTCAGAACTCCCAACAACTTAAACATAAGGCTCTCTAGTAATTGCTTCACATGGATGTGCATGTTTTTGCAAATGTCTTCATTTGGCTTCTTCCAAATCTGTTCCCATTCCTAGGGTATTTATTTCTGTGAAGGACTGCAGAACAGAGCCACATACAGTGCATAATTCATTTGGGAACTGGGGCTGCATTCACCAGTTGGCCACACCACAGGTCAACAGGAGAGAAAGAATCAGGTCCCGTGTTCGGAACGGCATTTGAAGAGTACAACACTAAGAATATTTCTGCCTTGAAAAAGCCTTACGTTTTATACTGTAGGAGACATGTGATGCTGCCACAATACCTATTTACCTACCTGTAACGCAACCGTTATCAAGAAATCCGTATATTTATAGTCCTTTTAAAATATTTCCGAATCCCTACAGTACATACTGTATAGGAGGAGACCCACTCTACCCACCGCTGAGGTGACATGAGGAACTGTAGGCCAGACTATGAATACATTTTAAGAAATAACTAGTTAGTCACATCAGTGTGTTTCCTTGGTGTGTTTCCTTAAAATTTCAGTTTTATTCCACACCCTGCTCAAGCCAAATGAAAAAGGGACCTATACCCTTTTGGGTTCCCATTGTATCAGTTCATTTTCATTTGACCCGTTTTTCGCCTCCTGTCATATCCAAACGACAGGGATGATATGCAGATTAACTGCGTATAGAGCTCGCAGACTGTTTTCAGTGAAGAAGTAGGAAAATGTGATAAAATGTAGGCAAGAGTATGCAAGCTTGAATGTCTCTCATCATTGCACTGACCAGGCCCTGTCTTGCTTACAATAGCTCTTCAGATCAGTGATCAGGGCAGGTGGTAAGACTGCTCTTGTGTGATTCAAGAATTCTCAACGAAGATAAAATGTGCTTCATAGTTGTCATACATGGGAAATGAGATGAAAGTTTCTGAAATAAAAAACTATAGCGGAAGTGATACATTGGTAAAGATGTGTTCTTTAATACGGGAAAATAATAACTGAAAAGGGGATTTGTTTCCCTGGAACACAAATATAGACCCAAATGTTTAATCTCAATTCTAATTTGAGATGCAGCACAAAATCAGGATTCTTTTTGCCACAAATTAAAATACTTTAAGCCTGTAAAAAATTGGAAATTTTATGATGTGTATTGTATTCCCTAGTTCCCATTTTAGACTTTTTTTGTGTGGATTGTATTTCAAATTTGAAAATCAAGCTTTTGAAACATGGACATTCAGAAGCAGCAGCATCTCAAAAGGGAGAAAAATGCAGACACCTGGAAACAGTCATCCGCATATTGTATAACTGCGAGTTGACCACCCATGCAAGATTGTGTTGCACTGAGCAGAGGGTAGATGGGAAAGATGCGTTCTCAAGATGAGTAACAACCTTGTTTATGGATTTAACTGCTATTTTTAGTTTAGGTTTTCTTTTTAAAGCAAAGTAAAACAGCTTAGGGCTGCCGTTCAGTTTAATTTAGTGAATGGAAAGATAATCAAGCAAAGAATGTTAGCCTGAACTTGAAACAATGACACTGTTATGTATTTAACTTAAATATTTTCAGGAGTTATATTTATACTTTGTTTCAATGAAGCCCCTTTGTTTTTTCTGCATTTTCTGACATTGACAGTGTTGCCTTTTATGGTACACCTGTTTATGTGAGTGGCATTTAATTTGTATCAGGGCATTGGTACACGGTGCTCTTTGTATCTGGATGGTGTTATGCAGAGCAATTTGTATCTCAGCAGCATTACATGGTTCTATTAGTACCAGGACAGTTTTTCACAGCAGTTTTGTATTTAGACAGCTAGCCAGCAGCCATATCACTCTGCAA